CCCGCCTGCATCCCCCCCCCCCCCCCCCCCCCCCCCTCCCCCCTCCCGCGGCTCTCCCCCCTCACCCCTGGAAAGTACAAACTGCCCCCCCGCGACATCTGAGACCCCCTCGACCGGGGCCCGCGAACCCGACGACACGAACGCGAGGGGCCCGAAACAAGGGCCTGTTTTCCAATGACGTCCGGGAAGGGCCAGCCCGTAGGGACGTTTTTGTCACATTTCGACGCACCAAGCCCCCCTCGCGACCATTCGGACGTGCAGCCACTGTTCGATGCGCAGATCAAACAGTCGCGCGTCGGCGCGCAGACCCTGCACGGAAATCCGAAATGGAAGGCCCGAGGGGGCCTCGTGTCCCGCGCGCCTACAAATACGAGAGGCGCCCTGGGCATTGACGATGCATTCTGCGTTTTTGCTGGGGAGATGCTGCCCGACGGAAACCACGCACTGCCACTGTCGTCAACAGCTGGCACACCATAGCTGGCACAACCATTCTTCACCGCGCACGTTGTTGGCACCGACGCACCCCACATGCCCTCGAATGTCCCTTCGCCTACCAAGTCGTTGTCCACGTCATATTCGACGTCGCTTTCGATCTCCTTTCTCGAAAGGCGCGCCCGCCATCCCACGAAGTACCCTAGCAAACGCGAAGTGCACGCCCAAAGGTGGATAGAGTACCATCACGATAAACGCCGGGGTTCGCGCTCATCTTCACTCGGCAGCTCCACATGGTGAGTGCGCACGCAGTCGGGATGTATGTGTGCATGTGCGCGTGTGCGGGGGAGGTTTTTTGTGACGATATGCTCACGCAGATCGAAAGATTTCGTGGCTGCATGTGTGCAGGTGGGCGTGTGTGTGTGTGTGTGTTTGTGTGTGATTGTGTGTTTGATCATGCTTCATTGTGTGTGTGTATGTTCGAGCGCGTGTTCCTTTGTGTTTGTGTTTGTATTGAAGTGTGTGCCACACGCGCGAGGCAGGATCGTGGGCGCGTCTGTACCTGAGGGGCGTGTGTGTGTGGGCGCCGTATGTCGGCGCGTGTGTGTGTGTGTGTGTGTGTGTGTGCGTGTGTGTTTCTGTCTGTGCACATTTGTTCGCGTGCGTGTGTGCTCGCGCACATTTCTCGCGGGGAGATGCGCGCGAACATACGCGGTCAGGGATGAACGACATGGTTTGCACTTCGATCCCGCTTCTGCTGCAATCGAGAACGAACGGCGCATGTGTGTGGATGTGTGAGGAAAGTATCAAAAAATGATTGCGCTCGTGCTGTACTCAAGTGGCGAAGCACGGAAGCTCGAATCGAACACGTGGCGACCAATAACGAAACACAACCTCATCGTGAGCACTTGCCATACCCGATTGATTTTGTGTGGTGTCCCAATGTCATGTCCGCCGATCTTCCCAATGGATGATCAATCGAAACACGCGGTGGCAATGTCAACACAGCGAACGCATCCATCGACCAATCGCGAAACACGATGAGATCACTCGCGATCGGATGATTGATCGTGTCTGCCGTGTCGATGTTACCACCGCGTGTGTGTTGTTCTTTCCGTCGTGTGTGTTCAGATCATGATCCGATCGGATGATTGTCATGGATCTGGTCGATCAGATCCATGACAATATGTACACCACACACGTGATGAACCGACCCATCACGAAACACAAGCCGACCACTCGCGATCGGGTGGTAGATGCTGTTTGCTTCCCCAACAACATCGCCGCTGATCTGCCCGACGGATGATTAACCAATGCACGAGGCGACAACGCATCCAACCGACCAATCGCGAAACGACAGAAGATTACTTGCGATCAGATGATTGATCGTGTGTGTTGCACCGAAGATCAACCCGCCGGCGAGCGACCTGTGTATTTATCCACCTGACAGTCCTCGACCGAACAGTCGATCGGTCAGGAAATCTGCCAGGATCAACTGATTGGTCGACCTCTTTGTTAACGATTGCTCTACTCGTTGATCAACGACCACACCAACCGCTAACCGAGCAGCCGATCAATCAGTTGATCCTGGCAGATTTCATGACCAATCGACTGTTCTGTGCACATTAATCATGGAGAACGATCGCGGAGAATCCTCAAGGCAAATGATCATGTGCACCATCGAAACCGGCGAACGAAACACACAACCAATCGGAAAAACGGCGATCCCGATCTGCGAACGAATAAAAAGCACTTCGTCACAATCTTGTTGCACATCGAACCTCATATAACATCGAACCATGCTGGCCATGGAACCTGGTTCCACATCAAACCTCGGCGGGCGTCGAACCTCGTCGGACGTCAAACTTTGGAGGACGTAGGGTCGTCGACAGTTGACGGTCACTGAACGGCGAACGTTGAGCACCCACCACCCCACGGGTCGCCGGCACTGTTCTCGAGATCGGAACGTGGCCATCCCAATCTGCTAGCACGACCTTGGCCATACCAACCGAACTCATCGCACAATCAAACACCGGAAGAAGTTGGGATCCCGGAGAGCTTGTGCAGCTGTTCGAACATGCTTCTCAACCTCGGCACGCAACCACAGCCAAGGACGTGGAAAAATATGAAGTCCGCCGGGATCCGAACTTCAAGAAATTGCTGGACGGCGAGTTTGGCAGACAGGTGTGTATCTCCTACGCAATTTCGCCAAGTCCGGATCCCGACGAACTTCATGCAGCTGCTCGAACAAGCTTCGCAACCTCGGTCCGCAACCACAGCCTGGGACGTGGAAAAAATTGAAGTCCGCAGGGATCAGAACTTCAAGAAATTGCAGGACGGCGAGTTTGGCAGACAGGTGTGTATCTCCCACGTGATTTCGCCAAGTTCGGATCCCGGCGAACTTCAGGTTCCTGCTGCCCTGCGAATCCAAACCTCGCGCGCACTGTTCCTTGCACACTCGTCGAGTCCGGACCTCGGCGAACCTCGGACTTGTGATAATGCGAAGTCCGCCGGGATCCGGACTTCTCCTGCACGGTTCCTCCCACAGACGTCAAGTTCGCACCCCGGCGACTTCGCTTGTCTCATTGTGCGGTTTCGCCCGGGGGTCGACACAACTTTGTATTTGAAAAAATGTGAAGCCCGCCGGTTGTTTCTATCCCACGCGGTCTCGCCAAGTTCGGATCCCGGCGAACACCAGGTTCCCCTTTGCCCTCCCGTGGATCCGGAGCTCGCGTGGCAAGTTCGGACCCCGACGAACTTCGTGTCGCGCATGGTGTGGGTTCTGACTGTGTCGTTTCTCGCGAACGGGTGTTTGCCACAACTTTTGTTTCGCAAAAATGCGAAGTCCGCCTGGATCCGTACTTCTCGTGCAAAGGTTCCTCGTCCCATCGTCGGGTTCGCCTGCTCTGTATCTCCCGCGCGATTTTCGCCAAGTTCGGATCCCGGCGAATTTGAACTCTCTTCCTTTCGCAATGCATGTGGCAGGAGATGTTCCTGCTGGGCCGTGGATCCGAACCTGCTGTGCACGGTTCCTCAGACAATCGTCAATTTCAGAACCCGGCGGACTTCGGATTCTATAAAATGCAAAGTCCGCTGAGATCCAAACTTCTCATGCACGGTTCGTCAGAAAACCGTCAAGTTCGGACCCCGGCGTACTTCACCTTTCGGGTGGTGCGGGTTCTGACTGTGGACTTTCTGGCGACCGGTGGATTGCCACAACTTTTTATTCGTACAAAAGTGAAGTCCGCCTGGATCCGAACTTCGTGGTAGTTTGGGACGTCGAGTTTGGGAGACAACTTCGTCTTTCCCGCGCAGTCTCGCCAAGTGCGGATCCAGGTGAACATGTCGTGGGGCGTGTTTGCGGCTGGCCTGCGGGCCGGTAGATGTGAACACCGACGAAGCTGGCCACCCGGAATCGGATCTTGGGGCATACGCTCTGTCTAATGCCATGGGTCGCACATCGCGAGACATGACGCGTTTACGAGTGTCTCCGTGCCCGTGTGTGTCGTCGGGCATGTGCGCGTGGTGTGCAGGTTGCGTGATGGAGGGGACCTTCTCGACACTGCGGGTCTTCGAGTCGATCTTCTCGACACCACAGGCCATGAGTGCCGAGACGCACATTCGCTTAGTAGAACCTTTTCGTCCTTGTGCGAAATGCGTGCGGCATTTCAACGGTGTGACAACGATCCACGGAGCGACCGCAGAGGATTTCGACGAGGACCCATGGATGACCGTCGTCCCGTGCATGGACCCGCATCTTGACGAATGGGGCGAGGGCAATTGAGACAATATGGAGAGTCACTGCCCTTGGGCAAGCCAGTACAAGTTCGCGAATATGTTGGAGTTTGGGGACCTCATCCCACTGCCTGACGCCGTCCTCGGACATAAGTTCCTGAACCATATGCGCAAAGCACTAAGCTGCATTAGCCGCTATTTCAGTCGCCTCGAGTGCCACAACGTCAGGTCGTCGCCACGAACTTGGGGGGGCTCGCTGAAACAAGAGTTGGTGGACTGCGCTTGTCGCTGCTCGTTCCTGGACCAGTACCCGCTCCGTGGCCCCGGGATTTCTCCACGAGCTGTGTCGTACTGCTGTGTGCGGTTGACTGTGTCCGGCTCTGATTTCGCCAGAGTTCTGTGTGTCGCTGCTTCGAACAAGAGCAGGAAACTCGTCGATGTAGTTGTGCTCGTGTCGCTCAATGAGGTTGTGATTGAAGGGTCCAAATTCGTGCCGATGCGTGGGCCTGAACGTGTGGATGGGTGGCCAGATTTGGTGATAACAGGTCAGGTTTGAAACTATTCGTTGTGGCATGAGGTTGAGGAGAAAGCGGTTGACATACGGGACTGCATAGGAAACTCCTTGGCACGACCGGGGGTGTTTGTTAGGATGAAATACGTGTCCATTTTTTTCGGAGAGTGCATCGGTCGACGAACCGCAGACTCGCGTATACGGGTCGTCACTAAATGCTTTGTATAGCTTCGGTTCACGACGTCATCCCGGGGGATCCCCAAATGTCGCCGCATCCGAACCGGTCTTTGGTCCTTCTGTTTGAGGGAAAAGAACGGCGAGGGACGAGATGTGGTTGTGCTGCCTAAAATGTCAGATTTGTAGGACTGCAGAGAAGTGTGAGACTCCGCGGTTGCTGGTACACGTTGCACCGCGCGCTTGTCGTGCAAATCCCTGGCGGTCGTTCAGTTCAGTGACCGACGAAAGTCATGTTGGACGTCCGTCTCTGACGCCGTCTCCTTCCATATCGTGCCCCGGCGAAGTTCGGATCTCGGCGAACTTCGCGTTCTGGCCTTTGCGTTAATTTGTCTTTGGTGTCATTGGCGTCGGGGGGGCCGCGGGAATGACCCAACACCGTGGAAACAGAACATAGCCGTAATCGATTTTCGCCCGTCCACCATCAACATGTGCCAAACAGTCGGTCATTGTCGTTGCGAGATGCCAAAAACACTCTTAGAGATCCCCATCGCAAGGTCGCGCGAGCTTCGCGTTTCCTGAAACCCGTTGGAGATCCCGGTTGGTGGGCCCTCTTGTTGGAAATCCCCTTGACACCTTGCTAGAACACCTTGCTAGAACCCCAACTTTCTGTCTGTCTCTCTCGCAGCCTCCTGAAGTTCGGATCCCGGCGAACTTCCTGTGACGCCTGTGTATTGAACGGGCGCTGGTCTTGATGATCCCCCGTCTTTTAGTACGGATCTCGGCGAACTTCGCGTCCTGAACTCTCAGGGTTCCGAGTGCCAAACGGAGGACACTGCCCCGTCCAACGCGAGTTTTGTGCGTCACCTCCCGTCCATTCCCGATCCGGTCGACATCTGTGTTCCGAAAACACCGACGTGGTTGTCGCTCGGCTGCATGAAGCGCGTGCCCTTGTAAAGAATGATCTCGTTGCAGGTAAGAGGTCATTGCTGGTCTTCGCGTTCGAAGTTCGCCGAGATCCGAACTTCGAGGTCCTCGGATGGCGTCATGTGACCGACGTGTTGAGGGCAAGGTGTGCCCCCTGTGTTTTTCGCCTGCGTTGTACTTTGACTGCGATTTGACGCTCACTGGTGTTTTATTTGTTTTCCGTTGTCGTCCGCAGACAATATGTCTTCGTCCAGGGGCGAAGGGGAGCCTGCAGCGACCTCCGGGATGAGATCTGGGAAAAATTCTACAAAACGGTCGTCTACGACCTCGAGGTCGTGGTCCGACCATGCTAGGTCGAAATGGTTCGTCGACTGGTGCTGTGGGGATGCATCCAACCCAGTGCAACAACCATGTGGTCCTGTGATCTTCGTCGAAGCCAACAAGCGGCGTAGGGTACTGGGGGCTGTCTTGCGGTGGGAGAATGCGAAAGGCAGTCGTCGACGGTTCTACATGAAAAATGTCTACGGTGCGAAGGGGAACGTCGTCGCCGGTGCCAAGGGGGCGATTCTGGACATGTGTCTGTTCGAGGGGTTCGGAGCGGGTGCTGCGAACACCCCGTTCTACAATGACCTCCGGCGGCAGGGCCGGTTTGTTTTGGGTTGAGAGTTCTTTGACTTGTTGGAGGACAAGGACATCGCCCTCAACGTCCCTTGCGAAGTCTGCCCCGACTTGGAACTGTCAATGCCTTTGCCGCCTGCGGCGGTTGTGAGTCGAGCGGGGCAGCGGGGGAGGGGGGGGATCTGGGTTCCGGGGAGGCTACACATGTGCAGCGGGAGGATGCCAGAGGTCAGTTTTACGACAGCAAAGATGAGGCGACACCTCGTCCGCCGTTTTCGCCGTCGAGGGGAAGAGACAGGTCCATGCTGTCCATACCTGGGGTCCGGCAATAGACCGCAGCGGATCCCGGAGAATAGGGAGTCCTGTGTGGGTCTGACTTGGAGCCTGCCGAGGGCCATGGCACGGAAGGCGAGGCCGTGGGCAGGGAGGGAGCATAGGGCACTCCCCAAAAAAGGAGGGGAGAATGTCAAGAAGACTTGGTGGGCTCTTCGAAGAAACAGAAGACCAAGACCCTGAGGACTGCGGGAGAGAAACGGAAGGGGAAGGGGGTGGAAGAGGGCCACCCGGGTAGCAAATGTCCAGCTTCGAAACATAAACAGCCTGAGTCGGGACCTTCTACACCACGGCCTGCCATCGACGTGGACGCCGGGTACTTCTTGGAGTACAAAGACGGCGTCAGGACAAGGCGGGAGTTTGAGATAAACCCGGCTCATATCGTCGACATAAGGGAGTGGGGGGATCTTTACAACCAGCGGTCGCTAGATCCCGTCCTCGTGGAAACGATAAGGGAAGCAATGCGGTCTGTGTTCGAAAATAAAGAACAGACGTACAAGTGTCCGGTCTTCAAGCTCGCACCACTGGGGCTTCAAAAACCAACTCCTGGGACCAAGGCACAACGTCTGAAGCCGGAGGACTGGAAGGGCGAGCTGGCGGGAGAATACTACTACTACGCGGTGTGCGGGCAGCACAACGCGGCTGCAGCCAGGTCGCTGCTCAGCACCGAGGTGGCCAAGAAGTACAATTTTGAGCGGTGGCCGGCACGGATGGTGTACTTTTCCGGCGATGACTTCGAAGGGTATTTTCTTGTTAGTTCACAGGACGACAAGAAGGACCTCAAGGCACCTCCCAGACAGTTGAAACTTTCTATGAAAGACATTCGATGGCAGTGGAAGCACGACGGCTGCCCAAGAGCTGTGATGGGGAACCCTAGCGGGAAACAAGATCAGGTTCGGGATTGGCGTAAGTTTTGTACAACGGCGCTCCATAAGGCGCCTCAAAACAGCTTGTGGCTTCTCGCGGATCAAAAGGAGGAGGAGGCCATTAAGAAGCAAAATGTTACCCTGCGTTCTTACTTACCTCTGGCGATGACCGGGGAAAATGTCTGGAAACTAGCCGTGGAATTTTTCGAAAAATGGGAGACGCGCAGATTGCTGAGCCACGACGGGGCGAAGTGGATCGTCAAAAAGAAGAAGGTCAAAAACGTAAAGCCTGGGGTCGCCTACATCCACAACGACAAATTGGGCAGAACGGAGGTGGTGTACAACGTCCCCGTGGACCCGCCGAATAAAAAGGGCAAAAAGGAGAAAAAGGAGGGCGATTGGTTCGTGCAAGTGCCAGACCCGGACGCGCATTGTTGGAAAATAATGGAATCACTCACGGACAATGAGAAGTGTCGCGTTCCGAAAAAGGTGCTTGCTTGCGAGGTCGTTTGGGTCCAGGCCGGCTCCCCGTCGTCGGCGAAGTTTGGAAAGCTCAGCGTGCAGGACATTGTGCAGCTGGTGAAGTGCGACCGCGTGCTGGTCCGGTTGTGGAATTACTACCAATTCAAGCACGAGAAGAGGCCGGACGCGGACTGGATCCAAAGGTACCCTTTCCTGAAATCGAGGTCTGCGGTGTTTAAGAAGTTTGAAGGTCAGGGATTGGATGACGAGTTGTGGGATAACAGCAGGAAACACGTTTTCGACTCGGCGCCGTTCAAGGACTGCCCGCCGTACATGGGTTGCGACCAGGACAACTCGATTGAGGTGACGGAGAAATTGGCGGGCCACAAGAAGTTGTCCGTCGACTGGAGAAATAAGGCTCTCTCCGTGTTGAATAGAAGCAGACTGAAGAGCCGGGAAGTCGCACTTGTCGAAGACGTCGTTCACATTAAATGGAAAGACACGGGGGACGTGACATCCATCGCGCCGTTTGCCAACGACCCTTTAGAGGTGGACATCAGGGGCGCAGAGCTGAAGGAGGCAGTGGCTGCCACAAAGAGCCACACGTTCGTCCTCGATCTGTGAGAGCCGGTTGACCTCAAACTGTGGAAGCCCCAAGCGTGGAAGACTTTGAATTCCTATCTTCAGACGTGGTGTCCCTCGCATTGGACTCTCGTTGTTTTCGTGCCGCTGCAGCACAACCTGTCGTTTCTCGCCAGCATGCACCATTTTTCTTTCGTCAAGCTGTTGGAAGGGAAGTGGGTGCGGAGAGTGCAGCAAAAAAAAAGTTTCCCCGTTGGGAACAATTTGTACACAGAGGAAGACCGCATGTACATCCTCTTCAAGGGTGACGATCTGCGCGTCAACACGTCCGTGGTCTACGAGGGAAACCTGCCCAGGGGTGCCGCTGCTCCGGTGCGATTGCCTCCGAGGGTCACCCGGACGGATGTGTCCGAGATTTCTTTCACGCCTTGCGACTGGTCGCTGGTGGCGCCTGAACGACAGGGCAGCGTCTACAGGGATATGGAACGCAATCCGACACGATTTTTCGGTCTTCTTGATTTTCTTGGCAAGAAGGGAGAGGGTGTCGTGTTCCTTGGGAAACCGCACGCCCGAAGCGTCTGGGAGCTTCTGAAGGCCGACCGGCACGTTGTCGCAATGGAAGGGAACTGCGACCTCTTGCAATTCACGATGCAGGTGGTGAAAAGCGAGGTCAATTCGGGTGGGCACAATTGTGAGTTCATGGTCGTGAGGCCAACACGGGAAAAGGTGTGGAGCAACAAGACGGATATGTGGTTCAAGTTGAGCGAGAGGAAGAGGAACAAGATATACGATTTCTTGTTCCTTCAAACGCGTCCGAGGAGGGACACTGACGCCGAGTACATCTGCCGGAAGGACCACATGTTGGCACTGCTCGACAACTACCACTTCGCCTCCCGCATGAACGCGAAGACGTTTATCGAAAGGCTGCAGTCGCTGTACTTCGTGGAATCCGAGGAGCAGTTGAAGTTAGCCAGTTACGCTTCCCTGATTTCCACTGACGACGAGGAAGCCATAGGTGTGGAGTTTGTCGCCAACGCGAAGGAGGAGGAGAGCGACACGGAGAGCATTGACCTGCAGTACGACCCACCTCCGGCGGACCACGGCCGAGGGTCCTCATCGGTCGGTCCATCACCAAGCGCTGCAGCCCTCGTGTCACCATTGGCCAAACCGGCGCCGGGCACCACGCCGATGAAGTTGATGAAGAGACTTAGGGCTTTGGCCGCCCCCCCCCCTGCTTTGCGTCCCGGGTCCATCGTCCCGCCCGATCATCCGTCTTGGAAGGATGACAACATCCACTTCCTGCTAGAACCGCAACGTCATTCACCTGAGCTGGACTGGGGCCATGACATGGTTTGGCATCCGGGAGTCATCCAGCCAGCGATACAAAATGGCGAGTGGGTCATGGCCGTGGCAATCCCGGGCGCGGGATGGGTGTCACTCCCACGTGAGTCGAAGTCGAACTTCCTGCACCTCGCGAGGATTTCGGTCCTCCAGAAAGTGACGGATGAAAATAACACTTTAGCACCCGGCTACCTGTCTCTCATTTCCACTGTCGGTCGACTGTTCGACGAGCTTCAGGACAAGTGCTGGTTGGAATTGACGGAGGACTACTACGAGCTCGACACGAGTCCGTCGAAGGGCGTGGTGGACTGGAAAGTGTCCCCTCCCAGTGGGCTGGACGGTGGTTCCGGGGGGGGGTCACCTGGAAGCGGAGGGGATGGGGGTGGCGACGCAGGGGGTGGCAAAGGAATCCCGCCTATGGGGGAGAGAGGGTCTCACGGCCGCAACACGACACCGGGAGTCAGCGCCGGGGTAGCGGGTTTCGCCGTCGACCGGACTCCGTCGACAGGCACCCGGCCCGAGCATACGACACACTCCGCCGACCCCCCGACTTTGTCCGTGGGCTCAGCGAGGGACACGTTGGCAGCCTTGGTTGCTCTGGGCAGTCGCTCGGCCGGAAAGCCGAAGTCCGCCGGGATCCGAACTRCGTCGGGTGAGGAGCCGCCAGAGCGGTCCGGAATGCGAAGCTGCTCGGGGTCGGAGGATCCAAGCAAGGATCGAGAAATTCGCAGCATTGCGGCGCGGGACGAAGACGTCGGAAAGGTGTCGCCTGAGCGGGAGCGACGGCCGCAAGGATTGCAGCGGGAGGCTGCAAGTGCAGGGTCCGACGACACGGAGACCGCGAAGTCCGCCGAGATCCGAACTTCTTCGGGCGGGGTTTGTCGGCCAGGGATTGTTGTGGCGTTTAGAGGGGCAGCGTGCACGGGGACGGAAGGGCGGTCCTCAAGATTCAGCACGGGTACCGCGGAAGGGGACGAGTTTCGTGGGAGGGAAGTAGGGAAGAAAATGGAGGAACAGAAGGGAGCGCAAGAAGGGGAGGAAGAAGGGGAAGAAGAGGTGGAAGGGGAGGAAGCGGGAGAAACGGAGCTAATTGATTTGTTTGAAGGAAGGGAGGGTGCCGGGTCTGGAGAAGACGAAGTGGAACACAGTGAGGACGATGCCGAATCTGGAGAGTCGTCTGACGAGTTCGGACAACTGTACCGAGAGCATCACGAGGATGATGTCGACGACGATGCCACGACAATAGAGATGGAGACACAAGTGGTCAGCAGCCTTTCCGCAAAGCCTGAAGATTACGCGGTCCGGCCACTGACCTCTGCTGTCGACTTGCAGCACCGGTTCGACGATGCTTCCGTCGCTATCAGCCCGTCTAAAAAAAGTCGGCGTATACGCATCGACGAAGTTATCGACGGTATCCTCGGCGACCACAACATGTCTGCCCGTCCGTCCGCAACTGCCAACGTCGCATCTTCCGTGGCAGCTGCCCTCGCTTCGTCGCCGCCGAAGTCTCCAAAGCTGTCGGCCACCTTTGCCGCCGAAGGGGAAGGCGAGTTCGGTGGAGGACAGCATGTGACGTCCCCAAAAAAATCGAGGTTCGGCGGTCAAGCTCTCGACGTGCTCGCATCGAAGGAGCGGAGAGAGAAACAGACTGGTAAGCCGTGAAGAACGCCTGCGCATCCGGATGTCGCCGGATTACAGTCCGCGCTATACACACGACGACTGTCCACACTGTCTGTACATACGGGAAGTTCCGGATGCCGGCATGCTACAGCCAGCAGCCCTTCCTACTCCAGCTCGTCGGCCTATCTGTGACTCGGCTGGGTTGCTAGTCGAGGGCGGCAAAAACTTCGTCGAAAACCTTACACTCCATCCAAGGAAGGATCTGCCCCGGCTGAGGAAGTGGCCAAGGTGCTAAGAAAGTGGCCAAGTAGATGGACGGACAATTTTCCCTTCTCGGGAATAGTGCCGGTTTTAGTCCGCCGGGATCCGAACTTCCTTTGTCGATGCGTGATGTGGTCAGTCTTAGTGGGGCTGGTGTGTTGAAAAGTCCGCCGCAGTCCGAACTTCGGGGATTTCTGGCCTCCGGCTTCTGTGAGTTGTGGTGGTTTTCCTTTGCGAAGTGCGGGGCTGATAAGCTCGAATGTTGCAGTCATTTTGTTTTCCAGTCGCACAACCGCACCTGGGTGCACATGACCATGCGAGATCAGGGTCCTGTGGTCGGAGAGGTCCTGCTTAACTGTAGGCCAAGGTGCTAAGAAAGTGGCCAAGTAGATGGACTGACAGTTTTCCCTTCTCGGGAATGGTGCCGGTTTTAGTCCGTCGGGATCCGAACTTCCTTTATCGATGCGTGATGTGGTCAGTCTCAGTGGGGCTGGTGTATTGAAAAGTCCGCCGCAGTCCGAACTTCGGGGATTGTTGGCCTCCGGCTTCTGTGAGTTGTGGTGGTTTTCCTTTGCGAAGTGCGGGGGTGATAAGCTCGGATGTTGCAGTCGTTTTGTTTTCCCGTCGCACAACCGCACCTGGGTGCGCATGACCACGCGAGATCAGGGTTCTGTGGTCGCAGGGGTCCTGCTTGACTGTTGCGTCTGTACGAATGTATGGTTCTCATTTTCCGTTTTGTCTTTCTTCTGTTGTAGAGGGGTGGTGTCGTCTTGAACACGGAGGTCCTCCAAATATCCAGAGCACATATTGCAGAAAGTCCCCGGGTTTAGTACAAAACACAAGGATATGTTAAAGGCATCTGGGGTTGATGTCAAGATCGGGAAGAAGGAGTACACAGTTGCCATTGAGGAATGTGCTTCCCTTCTTGCCCCAGAGAAAAGGACATATCCACGATCTGTGAGTAGGGGTCAGGCCATGTATGAGAAGTACTTAGCAACGCGTCATGCACCGGGGGACAATGCCTAGAACTCCGTTTCTCACTACCCCACGTGTCCTTTGCTCGATGTTGTGCAGTGCAGGCAACAAGCGCAGCACGGGGGAGAAGTTTCGCTGCAACGATTGCGCCTCTGAGCTTGCGGGGTTTGGACGACATTGTACGGGGCTTGGTGCCGTCTAACACTATTCTCTCTATACAGGGCGATGGTCAATTTCGGATTGCAGCAAAAGATCTCCTCACCCTCTTGCATGTCAACGGTAGGATGAATGATGAGGTGGTCAATTTCTATATGGCGTTGTTGGGGTCGACCGCATGTGGGTCATGTGACATCTCTTCAGGCCTTCAAGTCTTCAACTTTAATTTGTTCTTCTTCAGTAAACTGCGACTTCAGGGACACGGTGGGGTGCAGAGGTGGGCTAAAAACGTAGATTTGCTTCGTTACGATATTATCTTCGTTCCTGTCCACAAAGATGATGATCACTGGATTTTCGTTTCCGTCAACATGAGAGATGATGTTCTCGAAATTTTTGATTCTTTTCCTCGCATTGTAGCTGATTCTAGTTTTTACCTTAGTGTTTTCGGGTTGATTGTGCAGTATTTGGAGCACAATTTAAAGTTTTACACTTGTACATAGAATATCGAAATTAAGTGGTTATTGAAATACACCTTGCCCATCACAACTGTAAACAAGTATGGATCCCAGTGCCCTCATGTCAGGCGAGATGATGAGCGTGCCTATATGCGGAATTTATGCAAACACACCCATCGTCTCACCCGAGACGATTGTTTGGATGTTAAAGAGATTCGGACTTATGCAAGCACACCCTTCGTCTCACCCCAAGCGATTGTTTGGATGTTGAAGAGATTCGGACTTAGGGATAACGTAGTAAAAGAAAATTTGATGTGTTAACCAACAACGGTTCAATCATGACACATTGCTCATCACATACGTAAGCTTTGAGTTTAACAAGTATGAATCTCGACACACTCCTGTTCCAATCTCCCCGGGTCACAAGTCTTCTAAAAACAAGTCCGGATCTCATCATACATCTAAACAACCGTCTTCAGCAAGACGATGAACCTGCATGTGTAACTTTGGGATAACCGGAGGAATTATACTCTTCAATTCAATCTAATTGCATTGCCAATTTTATTTACAAAAGTTCAACAACTATGGATGTCAGCAAACTTTCGCATTTCGGGCGACTGGGCGGGCATGCCCATGTACAAACACTGCAGTCAAAAATGAATTCGTAAGAAAGAGGACAGTGTCACAATATAGTTACTGTATCTTTCATCACATTTATGAAATTGAAGTTTGACAAGTAAGAATCACGGCACACTTCCGCACAGGGTTCCCTTTGGCGTGCCAATCGTTATTCGTTTATGAAGTTTGACTAGTATGGATCCCAACACACTTCCCCACAGGATCCCCAACGTGTTTTTGAAGTTAACAAGTAAGGATCCCAACACACTTCCACATTTGGGATTTCATTTATGAAGTTTCACAAGTATGGATCTCAACGCGCTTCTGCATGTGGTTAACCCCTGGATGGGCATGCCTACGTTGCTCAGGCTGCAGCCAAAAATTAATTCGTTAGAAAGAGGACACAGTATAATGTCCTATTTTAACGAATAACATGTTTTGGCAGAACCGTTTCCTCCTTGCGCGAGATCAGTGCGGCATTTCAACGGCGTGACTACGATCCACGGAGCGCAGAGGACTTCGACGAGGACATCTGGATGACCGTCGTCCCATGCATGGACGGGCATATTGACGATTGGTGCGGTGGGAATTGAGCCACGATGGAGAGTCGCTGCCCTTAGGCAAGCCAGTACAAATTCGCCAACATGTTGGAGTTCGGGAACCTCATCCCGCCGTCTGACGGTGTCCTCGGACACAAGTTCCTGAACCATATGTGCAGAGCACTGGGCTGCATTAGCCGCCATTTCAGCCGCCTCGAGTACCACTACGTCAGGTCGTCGCCACGAACTTGGGGAGGTTCGCGGAAACAAGAGTTGGTGGACTGCGCTCGTCACTGCTCGTTCCTGGACCAGTACCCGCTCCGGTGCCCCGAGAGTTCTCCACAAGTTGTGTCAGACTGTTGTGTGCGATTTAAAGTGTCCGGGTCTGATTTCGCCAGAGTTCTATGTGTCGCTGCGTCGAACAAGAGCAGGAAACTCGTCGATGCAGTTGTGCTTGTATCATGCAACGAGGTGGTAATTGAGGGGTCTAAATTTGTGCCGACGCGCGGGCCTGAACGTGTAGATGGGTGGCTAGATTTGGTTATAGCAGGGTCGGCCCAAAACTTTTCGTTGCATCATGAGGTCGAGGAGAAAGTGTCCGATATACGGGACCGTATAGGGAATTCCTTAGCACGACCGAGAGTGTTTGTCAGGATGAAATACATGTCCGTCTTTTCGGAGAGTGCATCAGTCGACGAACCGCAGATCCGGGTGTACGGATCATCAATGAATGCTTTGTATGGCTTCGCTACACGACCTCGTCCCCGGGGAACCCCGAATGTCACTAGATCTGGACGTGTGGTCAGACTTAAGTAAGAGTTCACTCGCACTTTGCTTAAGTAAGGGTTAGCTCGCACGTAAGTGAGAGTTCACTCGCACTTTGATTAAGTGACGAGCTTGTCGATATGTAGTGCGGGCGTGACGGTTGAGTGTTGGCCGCACCAGGGGACTTATCATTGGACAACTTTATTTACGACGGTCTACACGTCTGTTTGTGTCGTTTGTGTGTCCGTGATGTGTAGGGAGCGTAATGCCGTCGAGACCTTCGACAAGCGTCAGCGTGAGTCCCGAGACGCACATGCGCTTGAGTCCCGAGAAGCACATGCGCTTGGCAAAACCGTTTTCACCTTGTGCGACATCGGTGCGGCATCATGACGGTCAAACGTGGATCGACGAAGCAGCCAAGGAGGACTTCGACTTCGACGAGGACCCATGGATGCTTGTCAAACCGTACATGAACCGACATCTCGACAAATGGAACGATAATGATTGGAAGGCGATGGAGCGTGCCTGCCCTTGGGCAAGCCATTACAAGTTTACCAACATGTTAGAGTTCGGGAGCCTCATTCCACTGCCTGATGGTGTCCTCCAGCGAAAGACCCTCGACGATAAGGGTGAACCGATCCACTACCGTACCAGCTTCAGACGTTGCCTCGGCTGCGAGTACATCCCATCTTCGCCACGAACTTGGGGAAGTTCGCAGAAGCAAGAGTTGGTGGACTGCGCTCGTCATTGTTCATTCTTGGAACACTACCCACCCCGTTGCCCAGGGACTTCTCCACAAGCTCTATCGTACTGTTGTGTGCGGTTGACAGAAGACGGATGTCCTTTCGCCAGAGTGCTATGTGTGGCTTCTTCAAGCAAAAGTAGGAAACTTGTGGATGCGGTTGCTCTCGTAGCACGGAACGAGCTGGTGCTGCAGGGATCCAAGTTCAAGGCGGTCATGTCTCGCCCAGATGTAGATGGGCGGTCAGACTTTGTGAGAGCAGGTCGGGTCAGATGTTTATCATTGTGGCATGAGGAGGAAGAGAAAGTGTCCACATACTAGACTGTATAGAAAATTCCTTAGCACGATCAGGAGGGTTTGTCGGGATGAAATACATGTCCGTATTTTCGGAGAATGCAACTGTCCACGAACCGCAGAGCCACGTATATGGATCATCTATGAATGCCATGTATGGTTTCGGTTCATGACCTCGTCCGCGAGAAACCCCGTATGTCACAAGATACGGATGTGTGGTCAGACCTTGTGTTTAAGGGCAATTGTAATTCTAATGAACTCTTCTGGTTTTACAGCTATCTTGTGCTATGTTGCGATGTTACGTCGTCTTGCGATGTCGTGTCGTGTACTTCTATGACCTTGTGTTTAAGGGAAAACATGTTAAAATACAATCTTGTGGAACATGATGTGCATGTGCACCTTCAAATGGTGGATATGCAGACAATCACACGTTGCCTTTCGCACCTGTTGCAACTATTGCCTCTCGCACCTCTATCTACTACTTCATACATGTTGCCTCTGGCACCTATTGCAATGCCTCTCAAACCTCTATCTACTACTTGTTTTTTGCTTCGAACGTTTTTTCGGAAACAACCCCTCTCTACTTTGCAATGTGCGGTTCAGTGGTTTGAACATTTCTCGCAACTCTACGTGCGCTGTTTCCATTTACGATGGTGCAGTGTTAGGAAAAGACTATGCAAGTTGCGAGTGTTGATATCTCCACGTTGCGGTGACAAGAGTAAATGTTTTGAATGGATGTTATGTATCTTGTCCATGCAAAGAAATGACACGAATGTTTCGATCTCCGATGTTCATGCCAATGTCTTACAGTCCTATACATGCTCATGTCAAGGAGGGGATCGATGTTTGCGATGACAAGAGTGAATGTTAGGAATCTATGTTATTGATTTGTCCATGCAAATGACAAGCCA